TTTAGGAAAGAGTTGAAGATTCTTCTGAAGGGTTTGGATGATAGGGTTCCAAATCGGATCACCAGCATACCCTTAACGAATTCGATCCTTTAACTCATTCGCGATGTCAAGGCAGGTAACAATCGTACCAAAGAAAGCAAATCACGTGGACAAAGCATTAACAACAACATTAGATTTTCCTTTTATGGTTTTCAATTCAAAATCAAATGTGTCAATGAATGCAAACCATCTTACTAGCTTGTTGGAGAGTTAAGGTCGAGTCTGGATTCACTTTAGGGTTGAGTGATCCAAGTAATCTGTGAAGTGTCGTCTGACCAAGTAGTGTTTTCAAGTGTCAAGTGTTTTACTTGGGCATACAATTCCTTTTTGTAGGTGGAGTTAGCTACCTTATTAGATGAAAGGTGTTTAGACACGAACTCGATGGGTCTATAGCCTTTTCCGTAGTCCTGTTGTAGCACAACCCCAATCCTAAACTAACTAGCACGAGTTGTGACCATGAAGGAAAGTGATGGATCAACAATTTTTAAGACAGAGAGTTAGCATATGTTTTAGCTTTTTGAACGCGAACTCACAATCTTTGTCCCATAACCAAGGTTTTTCTTTCTTCAACAATCTTCTCATGGTTGCAACTATAAGGGAGAAGTTCCTTACAAACTTCCTGTAATAGCTAGCAAGTCCTAAGAAAGATCTTAGTTCTGGGCCAATCTCTAATTGCGGTGTTTTTTTTTTTTCTTCAGACCTTAGTCCCTCTTCATTTACTACGTGTCCAAGATAAAGTACCTCAGACTTAGCAAATTTCGACTTCTTAGGATTTAGCTTGTAGTTACCTTCTCGTAGCTTTCCTAGAATCATTCGTAGGTGTTTCTCATGGTATTCCAACGTCTTATTGTAGATTAGGATGTCGTCGAGATACACCCCTTCGAAGTGATCTAGCCACTGCCTAAGCAGTTCGTTCATTGATCTACGAAAGGTTGCGGGGGCGTTAGTCAATCCAAAAGGCATGACAACAAATTCGTTGTGGTTGTACTTTGTTCTGAACGCCGTCTTGTGTTAATCTTTACGTGCCACCTCGACCTAGTTTATCCTAACTTCAGATCAATCTTTCTGAAATACTTGCAACCGTGCAGCTGATCAAGAAGATCATCAATATGGGGAAGTGGTTTCGCATTCTTGATCGTTACGGAGTTCAATCCTGGATAATCAACGCATAGTCGAAGTTCTCTTTCCTTTTTAGGTACGAATAAGAGAGGGACACTGTAGGGAGAGGAACTCAGTCGAATCAATCCTTTATTTGTAAGTTTTTGCAGTTGCTCTTTCAATTCTTCTAATTCCCTCAGGAATGTTCGATAGATTGGTCGTTTGGGAATCTTACTTTCGGGAATAATCTCAATTGTGTGCATTATAGCTCGATCAGTTACTCCTATTGGTTCAGTCTGCAAGTCCGTATATTCCTCCAGTAGTTTGTTAATAGAAGATGGATAGGACGAAAAACATTCACCTACTCGTTTTCGGGAATGATTTCAATTGTGTGCATTATAGCTCGATCAGTTACTCCTATTGGTTCAGTATGCAAGTCCTTATATTCCTCGAGTACGTTGTCAATAGAAGATGGATAGGACGAAAAACATTCACCTACTCGTTTGACAAGTACCATCATTACATCATGTGCCAACGTCTTCTTTGTAACCATGTTTCGGAAAGCATGAAGACTTGTACAACAAAAAGACAATGACGAGTCAGAACCAAACTTGTGAAATAATTTAATTGACTCCATTTTGGATTTTTCATCCTTTAGTTTAACAATCTTGTCTTTGAACTCGACTTCTGGGTCGGCTTCCTCATGCCAATCCATTCCCAGAATCATATCATAGGGCATTTTTTTATTATTATGAGGAAGCAGGGTTGCACCCCTGCCGACCGCCGACCGTATTGCAGCCGACCAGTAGGGCCAACCGGTCGGCGGTCTGCCGACCAGTCAGAAAAAAACCATCCACTGTTTTTTTTTCAAATCGGAGTTGGGGTTTGTGTTACGCTTGCCGAGTACAACCCAAATCCGTTGAGAAACTTTTGGGGATGGGGGGGGGTATGGGGGGGTTGGGGTTGGAGCATACCTGTGGTGCAAGTGTGCTGGTCACCGATGCGAAAAAAAAAGAAAAAAAAAGAAAAGAAAAAAAAAAAAGAAAAAAAAAACGGTTGTTATGTGTGAAAAAAAAAGTGGTTGTTATGTGTGAGAACACGCAAGAGAGAGAGAGAGAGAGAGAGAGAGAGAGAGAGAGAGAGAGAGAGAGAGAGAGAAAACAAATAGTTCCTTAGCATTTATTTGAAAACCTCTGCGGGTTATCCGAGAGGCCCCTGCACATACTTAGCAAGGGCCACCTCACCAGGAACGAGGTAATACTCGTAGCCATGCTAGAGTCATGGCACGCCAAGTATATGCTGTTGATTCACATTAAGGTTCGTGTTTCAACGGTTTGGGGATCACTAAGCACGCGACTTTCTGGGCAGTAGCAGGCCAACTCACCACACCAAATGTGCAAAACTAGAATGAATCTTTTGCTAGAACATGAAACTATACGCCACCATATGTTTTCTCTTTTGTGCAAGTGGTGACGAGTGGAGCAAGGCCCTTAAGGCCACTGCACGTAGGAAAAGGAAACAAGAGAGGAATGAATCTTCTGCTAGAACATGGAAACAAACGCTGCCATATGTTTTGTCTTTTGTGCAAGTAGTGACGAGTGGAGCAAGGCCCGTAGGGCCATTGATCGTAGCAAGTGGTTGTAACTTGTAATCCATAACTGCTTTAAAGCAGACCTGACTTCCGATCCAGAACATATATTGCTGGCCTGCTCCTCTCTCACATGAAATTTGTTGAATGTCTCTTGAGATGTTGGGACCCTTGCAGATGCACTGTTGGGGTCCTCCTGCACTATTGGCTACCTCAGCCAGCCCTCTCCATTTTTTTTTTTACCCTATTTATTGGGGTGCTGTAATAACCCATGCCATATGTCTCGTGGAACTGAGGTCCTTAAAAGGTCTACTTGACCGCGCTCAGCCCAGGCCGAACAAGGGCAAAAAAGGCCCTTCACGAAATCAGGGCCTGGGCGTGTGACAGTTGACATTGGTCAACTGTCAGTCCACCCAACCGTCAAAGTCCAAAGGTACCTAGCCCAGGCTGCAGGTCAAGCACACGCACTTGTTTGTACGCAGGTACACCGACAACATCAGCTCCAAGGGAGAAGTGTGCAACGACACAATCCAGGCTTTCAGCTGTGAGTCAATCTGGACGGCTGAGGGGAAATACACTGAGGCTGTTTGGGAGAAGTGTGCAACAGCACAATCCAGGCCTTCAGCCGTGAGTCAATCTGGACGACTGAGGGGAAATACACTAAGGCCAGACAGCCTCCTTGACTGCTACTTAAGGCTGGCCTCGAGTGAGTCAAGCATTCAGTCTTGCTATGCTGCTATGACGCTGGCTCGACTTTGACAACGCTGGCTTCATGCTGGCTGTGCACACGCGTTGCGGACGACGACACAAGGTGGAGGCGGCACGCTGGTGCTTCTTCGGTCCACCATGGCATGCTGACGTGGCGCTGCCTCTAGTATATGTGGCGCTGCCTCTGGTATATGTGGCGCTGCCTCTGGTCTACGTGGCATGCCGACGTGGCGTTGCCTCTGGTAAATGTGGCGCTGCCTCTGGTCTACGTGGCATGCTGACGTGGCGCTGCCTTTGGTATATGTGGCGCTGCTCTTGGTCTACGAGGCGCTGTTATTGGTCTTCATTGGTGATGTGGCGTATGCCACCTGTCTTGATTGCTGATGTGGCATTGTCCACGCTGTCTACATGAGGTGACTGGTTGCGAGGAGGAGGAAGATCGAGATATGTGGATGTAGGGAATCGGGTACTCACCTGTGGCTGACGTCGTCACTGGAAATCTGTTGTGTCTTCAAAGTCTTCATGAGATAAAGTGCCACATGGCACTATTGTATGTAATTAGGATTATTCTTATTATCATTGATAATGTAGTGTGGAAAGAACCCCGGAGAAGGAGAGGGATCTGAAGGGTTCTGTGTATTCTCTCTTCCTCTCTGTCACCCTCTTCGCTGATGAAGAAGGTGAACTCCGAACCCGTAATCAGATTGAAGACCGACGACAGATGATGCTAGGTCGTCTTCAACAACTCATAAATGAGTCGCATGGTGCTGGAGCCATGGCTGAACAACACGTACGCAGCCAGTTCGATCTACGTGCTGCAGAAACCGAACTTAAAGAGGCTGTTACGGTTGTTTAGATGATGGAGGCCAGTACAAGGGTGCAGCGGACTATTAATCAGGGCCGAATGACCCTTGATCAATATGTCGCCGAGGAGCTGGCGAAGATCGCTGCAGGCGAGCCGAAAGAAGAATGGGAAATGAAAGAAGAAAGAAAGGAAGAAGAAAGAAGGTCATAACTGAATGAGGATATAATGCTGGCAAACATTAGACAATTGGAAGAAGCATTGAACACGGAAAGAAAAAGAATGGATGAGTACCGAAGGATAAAAATTGAGAGAGAACAGCGAGAAAGAAAGGTGGAAAAAATTAGGCAACAATTTCACATTGAAAAAACAGAAACAGATTTTGCATCTGTTCTCGACAACTTGCTGGCCTATCTGGCACACCTTGAAACAAAGATTGATAATAACACCGCCACATTGGAGTCGATGTTGAGACTAGTAAAAGGGAAAGGTAAAGTGTCAGTTGATGAGGAGGCTAAGGGGAAAGAAAAGAAAGAACCCTAGGACAAGTTGATGAAAGATGCAATCAGGGGGGAGGACAAACCCGGACCCTCGAAGGAGTCTGAAAAACCGGCCAAGAAGAAAGAAGAACCAACCGACAAGATGGAAGAACCGGCTAAGGAAGCGGAGAAGCCAAAAAGGAAAGAAAAGGTTAAGATGAAATTGTCGTTCACCTACAACCACAAAAAGGAAGAAAACTTGTTGTTGTGGATTGCTGAGATACAGACTTATTGTAGCACTGCACCTGTTGAGCCTGAAAATCGGGTTGCTTTCTCCACGTCTTGTCTGGGAGGAGTGGCCAAGGAATGGGTGTTGGCCGAAGCCAACACTGCCAGCTTTGAGAATATAGGTGAGTGGGCTAAGACCCTGACGTTGAGGCAGTTTCTTCAGAAAATCAAGGAGAGATTCCTTGACAAGACGATAGCCGATAAGGCTTTTGATGACCTCACCAGCATTGGCCAAAAGTGTTGGGCTTCAATTGATTCACTGTCTCGTGAGGTTTATCGTCTTTTGCTGGTACCTGGACTGAACTTACAGGACAATCAGGTTCTCGACATCTACTCACGTGCATTGCCCGAGCCCATTCGTGGACAGCTTGTGGCCGAATCGAAGTCAGGTAAGTATAACTATTGACAATTTCACGATCTCGCTCTCTAGAGAGAGCAGATGACCGCGCAGGTAAAAGGGTTTTACACGTCGGTGGTTAAGTCGGGACTGGTAGGAGGTTATGGCAAGAGGGTCCTTTGGCGGCAAAAGCGCCAGGACCATATGCTTGTGTTATTTGACCATGAGACTGTAGAGAAGTTACCTCTGGAAGAGTCTGAGGGAGGAGGAGGTAACGACAGTAGTGAGTTCGGGAAGGGTGACGTCACTGCTGTCATGGCCAACAAGGGAGGCCAGAACCAGTGGAAGAAGAAGAAGAGGCCACGCTTGTTTCCCGAGCACCTCGGCATTGCGTTCAGAAGACCTTGGGAAAAAATGAACATGATGCGCGAGGAATGGCAGTCCAAGATGGACAACCGCCAGTGCCTCAAGTGTGGCACCGTGGGGCACGTGATAGCTTGGTGCCCGCTTATTCGTAACCCAAAAGTGAGCAGCCAGTAGGAGTAGCGTATGCTCCTACTGAGTCGAAGGGTATAGATCAAGATAGAGGTAAGGCGCCTATAACCCCTTCTACCCCTTCGACTCTCAAGGCAGAGGATGACTCTTCTTCCGCCCGTCGTCCAAACCACCCTGACGCAGTCCTTTGTTCTGTCTCACTGGACGATTCCCTTGACGAGCTCGGCAATGAACTTATAGAACTGGAGTTCGTGGGCGAAGAAAGCAAAGTCTTAGGGTGAGTTAATGATCGCGGATGTTGAGATTGCGCACACGCGAGTAGGTGCCCTGTTAGATCCGAGATCGAAGCGGTCTTATATCTCAGAGAAGGCAATTTGTAAGTTGCATCTAGGAATGAAAGTAAAGGATTTACCAAGACCTATCACGTCTATACTGGCACTGTCTCTCAATACGTCGATCGTGTGAAATGCTATTTTAGGACCAAGGAAGGTAAGAAGATTCTACACGAGGTATCCTTCCTTATAGAGAAGAATTTACCCTTTAACTTAATTCTGGGTATGGATTGGCACGAGGGAGCCGACCCAGAAATTAAGTTCAAAGATAAAACTGTCAAACTCAAGGACGGGAAGTTCGAACTACGTATGATAAAGTTATATCATAAGTCTGGCTCTGACTCTACTCTGTCTTTTTGTTGTACGAGTTACCCAACTTTCCCATCAATGGTAGTAAAGAAGAAGTTAAATCAGGAGGCGATGATGGTGCTCGTCAAAAGAGTCGGTGCGTGTTCTTCATCCTACCCACCTTCTATTGAAAAACTTTTGATGAATATGAGGACTTGCGGTCTGAACCGACGGGAATCACTGAGCGTGCTATCAAGCACACAATCGAGATAATTCCCGGAAGTAAGATTCCCAAGGGTCCTATTTACCGTATGTCTCCCAAGGGATGGATTTGACCCAAATCATCTCCTTACGGTGCACCTGTCTTATTTGTACCCAAAAAGGAAGGTGAACTTCGACTGTGCATTGACTATCGTGGGTTGAATTCTGTCACTGTAAAAAATGTGGAACCACTTCCGCGTGTTGATGACTTGCTGGATCAACTACAGGGCTGCATGTATTTTAGCAAGATTGATCTCAAGTCAGGGTACCACCAGATCGAGGTGGCTCATGAAGATCATTACAAGACGGTTTTCTGAACAAGGTATGGTCACTACGCGTTTGTGGTAATGCCTTTCGAATTGACTAACGCCCCTGCAACCTTTCAAAGGTCCATGAATGAATTGTTCCGTCGGTGGTTGGACCAATTCGTAATTGTCTATCTCGATGATATCCTAGTGTATAGTAAGACACTGGAGGATCACGAGAAACACCTACGGATGGTTCTTCAGAAGTTGCATGAAGGCAACTTCAAATTGAATCGGAAGAAGTCTGAATTTTCTAAGCCTGAAGTATTATACCTAGGGCACATAGTGAATGAGGCCCGAAGAGAAGAAAATAACAGCAATCAGAGATTGGCCTCAATCTAAGACCGTCACTGAACTCAGGTCTTTCCTAGGACTTACTAGTTATACCTAGGACTTCCTAGTCTTTCCTAGGACTTGCTAGTAATCAGAGATTGGTCGCAGCCTAAGTTCGTCAGAAACTTCTCTTTGATAGTTGCACCTATGAGAAGATTACTGAAAGAGGAAAAGCCTTGGTTGTGGGACAAAGATTGTGAGTCGTCATTTAAGATGTTGAAACATACCCCGACTCTATGTGTCCGAAATTGGATTCAACGGGGGTTTCCTGTTGAACCCCCGTTGCAACTCCGCGTTATACCCCGTTAGATCGGGGTTCAACTCGGCCCGTGAAAAGTTTTTTCGACGGCAAAAAAACGGTAAAAAAAAAAAACAAAAATATGGGGGGGTAGAGGCTTTCACGCTCTACATCCCCATATTTTTTTTTTGTTTTTTGGAGGAAGTATATGAATTTTAAAAAATAAAAAACCGTTAGAGTGTAAGGTTAAAGCAAATTAAAGGGAAAAAAAAAGATCCCTTGCAGGCCGGGGGGGGGGGGTAGATCGATCGCCGCGAGTAGGGGACCGTTTGCTGCTGAAATGCGTGCAACGCGCGCGTGTGGACCGGTGTGGTGCAGCAAATGACAAGGATCGGCCACAAAAAAGGTCGATTGTCACATTGTCGTTGGTCTTGTCAGAGGAGCAGCGCGCCGTTGTGCAGTAAGTGCAGTGCACAGCTTCACGCGCCGTTGGTGTGTTAGTAGACGCGCGGCGAGCTCTGGCGCGGGGTCGACGACCGATGGTGCAACGGGGGTGGGGCCAGATCGGTCACCGCGAGTAGGGGACCGTTTGCTGCTGAAACGCGTGCAACGCGCGCATGTGGACCGGTGTGGTGCAGCAAATGACAAGGATCGGCCACAAAAAAGGCCTATTGTCACATTGTCGTCGGTCTTGTCAGAGGAGCAGCGCGCCGTTGTGCAGTAAGCGCAGTGCACAGCTTCACGCGCTGTTGGTGTGTTAGTAGACGCGCGGCGAGATCTGGCGCGGGGTCGACGACCGATGGTGCAACGGGGGTGGAGGGGGGCACGAGGGGGCGCCGACGCGACAAATGGGCGGACACCAGGCCGATCAGCGGGCGATCACCGGGGGATCAACGGGGGTACACCGGGGATCAACGACGATCAACGGAGGATCAACTGGGGGGGGTTGGCGCCGCACGGCGACGAGAGAGAGAAACGACGGGGGAGAGAGAGAGAGAGAGAGAGAGAGAGAGAGAGAGAGAGAGAGAGGACGCTCAAGCGGCGACGTAGTCGACACGTGCCCACCATCGACGACGGAGATGGGTTTTCTTCTTCTTCTTCTTCTTCTTCTTCTTCTTCTTCTTCTTCTTTTGTTCTTAATCTTCTTCTTCTCTTCTTCGTATTCTTCTTCTTCTTCTTCTTCTTCTTCTTCTTCTTCTTCCTTTCTCTCTCTCTCTCTCTCTCTCTCTCTCTCTCTCTCTGGCCTCC